TCCACGGACCCATTCCCCAGAGAAACTGGTGAAAATTATTTTTCAAAACACTCTTTAAATTCTCTGGAAATTGACGTAAGTGCATGTTGCAAATGAAAAAACAGTTATTCAAGAAAATCTACTAAAACTCAGTGAGAGCTACACAGGTCTGTGGGACTTGAGCTAAGACCCGTCTCCCTGCCCCTTCCAGCTCAGGGAGATGGAAATGCCACTCCAGGCTGGTCCAGACAAGAACACAGGGCAGAAGCCTGTCTTCCCAGGAGGGACAGACATAAGCGTTTCTCATCTTGCCCCCAGCTACCCATTGCTGAGACAAAGTCCCAGTCAAAGGCAGCTAAGAGGTGAGAGCTTTTCCTGCTCAGCCCCCGCTGGTGACACTGAGGCTCTGAGTGTGGCCTGGCTGTAAGCAGCTTTTGGCAGGAAAGAGCTCTTTACAGGAGAGAGCTCTCTGCAGGAGGCCCCTTTTGTCTTGTCACTAACCTGAAACCAGGCACCCCCATGCTCCACTCATCTCCAGCCCTAGCTCACCTTGCAGATCTTTTGATCACACAATACCTTGCCTAACCTGTTGGTTCTTTCCATAGACCAAAGAAGCAGAAATGGAGAGTAGTTAACAGGTGAGCAGCCCTTTCCTGGCTCCGCTTCCATATTCTCATGAACAAACTGAACAAAGTAGCATCTAAAGAAACGATCACAAGACTGTGTGCAGTGGAGCACGGCAGTGACTCTGACCTCCTATCTCAATGATTAACTGAGATTGCTTACCCTTTTCCCTTTAAAAACTTCCATGGCTAAGCAGAATCTTCAGAGTTGGTTTTGGGGGACACTGAGTCCACCATCTGCCCAGGTTGCTGGCATTCTGATTAAAGCATCTTTTCTTTCTACACTTGCCTCTCGGATCATTGGCTTTTGAGTGGCAAGCAGCCAAACCAGAGTTTGGTGACATGACTGAAAATACTGAGACCACAATTTCCTTTTGCCCCAGTTCATGGGCAGGGAATTGCTACCAGAAGAGGCCGGACAAGGAACCTGGGGCTGATACACTCCCCCCTCCACCGAGCACTGAGCTCCCAGAGTGGCGGTGTCACTCGGAGAGAAGCCCATCTTTGTCCCCACCCCCAGCAACAGAGCCTTGGCTCAGAGATTTCCCCCACTAGGGAGAAGCAGACCCTAAGCAGAGAGTTCCAGACTCCTCCCTAAAGAACTGACTTCATTTGCAGCAGAGTGTGGAGAGACTGAAGCTTCACCGTGCTCTCAAAAACAGTAGAAGTTGTGGTGAAAGACGTTGATCAAGTCATTGGAGACATACGGCTAAACTGTAAGCTGGCTAATTTGCAGGAGAGAAAACAGAGAAAAAGACAGCTTTGAAGAGATCTCCCTGGGCCAGAACAAATCTCAAACACTGACCACAGGTACCATTCCTAAAAAGTTTTGATTTGGACTTCACTGTAAAGCAATTTATCCCCTGGGGCATTGCTGAAGACTATAGAGCAATCAGCCTGGAATTTGTGGAGATTCACAATTGCGTGTTGTTAGAGAAAGAGACGGTCAAAGAGAGCGTGCCAAAACCATTGTCATCACTTGAGCTGTGGGCATGCTCAAGCCTGCACCCCACCCCACCCCACCCCACCCCTAGGTGCAACATCTGGGGCTTCACACTATGGGGGGTGGTGTGACTTCACTAAAATATTCCAGCCAGTCACTAAACAAGAAAACAAGCAAATAACCATAGTTTGCCTGGGAAGGAGAGGGGAGGAAGGAGCCAGACTTGCTACAAGTTATCATCTAAGATACCCAGTTTCCAACAAAAAAAATTACAAGACACAAACAAATAGGGAAGAATGACCCATACCAGGGTTGGGGTTGGGGGAGCACCCAGAAAACACAAACAGCTGGTGGAAAGCAACCAGATACCAATTTTTTTTATTAAAATTTTTTAATTTTTTATTTTGGGGGGAAAGCAATTAGGCTTATTTTTATTTATTTATTTATTTAACGGAAGTACTGGGGATCGAACCCAGGACCACTGAACTATACTCCCCACTAGATATCAGATTTTAAAAACACTTCAAAGTAGCCATTATAAAGATGTTCAAAAACTAAAGAAAACCGTGATTGAAGAAAAAAAGGAAAGTGTGATGACAATGTCTCATCAAATAGCAATATTAATGCAGAGAATTATTTTAAAAAAAAAGACTCAAAATAGAGATTCTGGAGTTGAAAAAGACAGTAAGTGAAATGAAAAATTCACTAGAGCCTCAGCAGTAAATTTGAATTAGCGGAGGAAAGAATTAGCAAATTTTGAAGAGAGGTCAACAAAGCTTATGCAATCCACAGAACAAAGAGAAAATAGAATAAAGAAAAATAAACAAAGCTTTAGAGAATGGTGGAACACCAAAAATGCGCTACCGTGTACATAATACAAGTACCAGAAGAAGAGAGGGGGATAGCCGAAAAAATTTTTTGAAGTCAAATAGCTGAAGACTTCCCAAAATTTATTGAAAAACAATCCACACATCTAGGAAGCTCAACTTAAGATAAATACAAAGAGCTCTACAGATAGATACATTATAGTAAAAATGCTGAAAGCCAAAAAAATGGAGATCTTAAAAGCAGCAAAGCAACTCATCACTTACAGGGGAACCCCAACGGTATTCACAGCTGACTTCTCCTGAGAAACAGTAGAGACCAGACAGCAACGGGATAATGTATTCGAAGTGCTCAAAGAAAACAGCTGTCAGCCAGAAACCCTAGATCCAGGAAAACCCTCTCTCAACAATGAAGGCAAAATAAAGACATTCCCAGATAAACAAAAACTGAGAAGATTTGTTGCTAGCACACCTGCCTTGTTAAGAAATACTGAAGGGTACTCTTCAGACTGAAAGCAAGTGACCACAGACATGAAGAACAAGTCAAGATAATTATGTGATTATAAGGTAGTATAAATGCACATCCTTTTCCTCCTTTATTCTCTTAAAAGAAATTGTATAACACAGCATGGAAGTAATGTGTTCGGAGGCTAATAATGTATAGAACTGTAACGTATTTGACAATAACACAGACGAGGAAGATGGAAACAAAGCTGTGACTAAGGAAATGACTCAATGGTAACTCGAATCCGCAGTAACAGACTGAGAATACCAAAAATGATGTGAGGAGATGAATATACCAAAAGCTACAAATATATATATATATATATATATATATACGTGCTCTTTTTCTCCTCTCAGATTCTTTGAAAGACATAAATTATATAAAGTAATCATTGCTATAATGTATTTTGAGGTCTGTATCATTTATACATGTAACATGTGTAACAATAATACCACAAAAGGGGTAAAAATAGAACAGAGCGATATAGGAGGGGCATTTCTAAATCTCATCAGAGTTAAGCCCATAAAGTCTGAAGCTGTTTCTGATGAGTTTTGATGTGCAGGGTAACCCTTAGAACAACTGCTAAGGAAATAACTCAAAGAAATGAATAGTGAAAAAGACAAGCAAAATCGAAAAACTGCTCCAGATCAGAGGAGACTTAAGAGATAAGCTGATCTAAGCTGGACGTGTTTGAAGGGCACAGGCCAGCTCCTGTGTAAAGTGTCAGTTTGGGTTTGTCTGCTGTTTCCTCGTGATTTATGCTTTTTGGCAGAAACAACAGAAACGTGTCCCTCTCAGGCGTGACATCATGAGGCCCATGACGTTGACTTGTCCCATTAGTAGTGACGTTAACTGGCATGCCCCGTCTGCCACGTTTCTTCATTGTTGACTAATAATGGAATGTAGTAATTAACATCAATCAGCAGGTGTTTTGTGGGGACAGACTTTGTGACCATGTCTACATTTATCAGGTGGCATTCTGCCGAAGGTAACACCTTCCATTTTCCCTCATTTATTAATTTATCATTTATATGAATTCATGGATTCTAACTTACTCAGTGGGTTATAGTCTATTATCATCCTTGTCTATTTTGACACTCAGATTGCCCCAGATTTCCCCACTGGGAGTCCCTTTCAACTGCTTTTCTGATTGAACCCCGACTGATGCACCATGGCTCCTTAGTGATGGCCGGCAGCTCTTTTCCCCTCTTCCAGCCACAATGTCTTCCCAGATTTTCCTGCCCATTCTCGGCCAAGCGATTAGGTTAGGATGGACCCCACCTCAGCCTCAGGGATGTACCTTGACTTGCCTTATGCTAGTCAGGGTATCCCAGGCCCCTCGACACAGTGATTGTTTCAAGATGAGCATCTGACCCATTCGAGTATGAAAACTGGGGAAAACTGATGGGGTTTCTGGGAAAGGAGATTCCTTCCTGTTCCAAGGGAGCTTCTCTTCCAAGAGGCTGCCAAAGAACTCTCTTCCTCTCTCCTGATGACACACTGTCAGGATATACAGTTGGGACCTGATGCAGCCATTTCTGCTGCCAAGAAGGAAGCTAGGCTGAGGTCAAGTTCAGCCTACACAGGTGGGAAGAACTGAGAGAATGGTAGGGAAACTGGACTGGAGCTCTGGGGACACCACTGATTTATGGATCATTCTGTGCCTCAAGCTATCTGTGGACTGGTTACTCATTTGAGCCAATAAATTACCTTTTTTATTTAAGCCAGGGTGAGCGAAGACTTCTGTTGCTTGCAACCCAAGTATCCTAAGCAATACACTCCCCAAAACAGCAAAAGAAGGCTGCCTGCTGAGAAAAGTAACAGGCTAAGTATCTGTTCCTTATGACCAAAAGAACTCTAACCATAACCTGTTGGTCTCCCTGGCTGGTCTGAGAGTTTCCGGGGGTGTATTCACGGTGTACCCCAGCCTCTTGGAGTGACACGTGGTAGAGTAATTGCATGACTGTATGTGTGAGAGCTGCTAAGGCTGTCTTGTTAACCACTAACTCCCTAGCATCTAGAACTGTGAGTGGACAGACAGCAAGCATTTATTGAATGAATCCATGAATCACCCGAGCATGCCCCTCCCCACAAACCCACCAAAGGAAAAGAAGCTGCAGCAAAAATTGTGCATGCCACTTTATTCTCTGGAGAGGGGAAGGCGGTGGAAGCAGTTAGGTAAGAGGAACTTGAGGGTAGACTCTGGATTTAGGAAGGAAGGCGCCGGCTAAGGTTGCTGGAGTTTCTGTGCTTCTCCTCCAGGATGGGGTCAGGGGACCCGGAGGCTCAGATGAGACCTGGTGTGGAGAGAAGAGCCAGCTGTGGGCAGGTGGGTGGGGTCTCCTGGGCCAGCTGGGATTCAGACCCACCTGTCCCTGCTGTACGTACCCAGAGTCACATCCTGGAAGCCAGTCAGGAGCCTGTGCAGGCTTTGAAGATAAAAAGCCACAGGCTCCAATGACAGGAAATGGTGGGGACCTGACACTGAGGGGTGATCCCAGATCTACCAGTATCAAGTCCCAAAGCATCAGTGAGGACTGGATGAACTGCCAGAGCCCATCACGGGGCCCCTTCCAGCCCCACCTCCTCCTGCAGCCGCAGGCACAGCCTGGGCAGCCCAAGAGGATGGGGCCAGCAGGGCCCTCTCTGCCCGGCAGGGTTCCCCAGCCTGGCTCCAAGGCCCCTAGTGTCACGGAGAAGGATGTGGCCTCAGCTCCCAACCCCAGGGACCTGTGCTGGGGCTGGGGATTGGAGTGTGATCAGGACTCTGGTGTCTCTTGAATATTTCAGTCTGAGGCCATTTCCTTGGTGTCAGCCTCTTTATATATGATGGTCTCATTCAATCCTCATTTTAACCTCAGAAATAAGAATTATTATCCCCTTTCACAGATGAGGGAATTGAAGCTCAGAGAACTTATTTGCCCAAATGTCACACCGGTCACAATGGCCACCATTAAAAAGTCCACAAGTGATAAATGCTGGAGAGGGTGTGGAGAAAAGGGAGCGCTCCTACACTGCTGGTGGCAATGTAAATTGGCACAGCCACTGTGGAGAACACTATGAAGGTTCCACAAAAAAACTAGAATTACTGTATGATACAGCGGTCCCACTTCTGAGCATATATCTGGATAAAACTATAACTTGAAAAGATACATGCACCCCAGTGTTCATAGCAGGATTATTTACAACAGCCAAGGCATGGAAGCAACATGCATGTCCATGGACAGATGAATGAAGAAAGAAGCTGCAATGTATATATACACTATGGAATATTACTCAGCCATAAAAAGAATGAAGTAATGCCATGTGCAGCAACATGGATGGACCTAGAGATTATCATACCAAGTGAAGTAAGTCAGACAAAAAAAAGACAAATATCATATGGTATCACTTATATGTGGCCTCTAAAAAAAATGACATGAATGAACTTATTTACAAACCAGAAATAGACTCACAGACATAGAAAACAAACTATGGTTACCAAAGGGGAAAGGGTGATGGGGAAGGATGTATTGGGAGTTTGGGATTAACGTGTACACACTACTATATATAAAGTAGATAAACAACAAGGACAGGGAACTACATTACGTATCTGGTGATAACCTATAATGGAAAAGAATATATGTGTGTGTGTGTGTATATTATAATTATATATATATATATATATATACACACATATATATGTGTATATATGTGTGTATATATATAATTGAATCATTTTGCTTGCACTCAAAACTAACACAACATTGTAAACCAACTATACATTTTAAAGTTACTTGCCCAAGGTCACACAGCGGAGGAGAAACCGGGGCCTGATCTTAGCCCAGGACTGCCTGGAAATGGAGAAGCCTCATGCTCATAGGAGTTCTTCTTAAACGTTTCCAGCTAAAACCCACCTGCCCCGCTGCTCCACACTTTCCCAAGCTGGGAGTGTGAAGAGTGATGTGTCATTGCAAAGAAGCTTGGCAGGGCACGTGTAAGCGGCTTCTGAAGTTCTCTCTGACTTTTATGTTTTCAAACCCTGTCCCACACGCACGGGGAGGCTGTCAGGGAATGTCCCTGCGGTCACCTCTGCACCCACCTGCCTTGGGTTTGCATTTCTTGAGGTCCACACAGATTTCTCGGGGTTTCTTCCCAGCAATGATGTCCTTGGAGATGCGGTTAAGAAAGAGCTTCATGATCTTCTTGCACAGGCCTCGCAGCAGCCGGTTCAACTTCTGGCACACCTGGGACGCAGCCTGGGCGATGGTGTCCTGGAGTGGCAGCGCCACAGAGGGACACGGGCGTCAGGCGAGCCCTGCCCAGCTCCCTGCTCCACAGGCCCCAGCAGCTCTGGGCCCCGGGCAGGTCTGGGGATGGGCATTCTGGGTGCGAGGAGTTGGTGCCCTGGGGCCACGGGGGCAGAGATGGGAGAGACAGAGCCGGGCCCCACTCCCGGCCTCCAAGCTGCTCGGGCCCAGCCGCAGGTCAGCCCTCCGCACGGCCCCTGCTCCGGGACGGTGTGCTGGGTCCCCCGGGCTTCTGCCCACCCCACCCGCCAGCGGGCAGGAGGCTCCACAAGCCCTCAACCTCACCTGGGTGGGCTGCTTTCCCACCAGGTCCTCCACCTTCTGGATTATCATCTGACAAGAGTAACAGATGAAGCCCAACCCCTCTCCTCTGGGCTGCAGGTCACCCTGTCAGGAAAGGAAGCCCCCCAAGGTGGTATCTCAGGCATCCCAACCTGGGGTGCTTTCAAGGCTGCAGGATCATCTATGAGCTTTCTGGCCCCTGCCCACCTTCCGGCTAGTTTAGGAGTGGGGCTGCTGAGAGACCCCAGAACCGCCCCCACCCCCTTTCCCAGCCCATCATCTGTCCCCTTCTGTTCTCTGAGCAGCCCACTGAGGATGCCCTTGGGGAAGGCCAGCCAGACTAACGTAGCCCCCACTCAACCCCCCAGCATCTCCAGCTCCCAGCCCTGCCTCCCCTCCCCCTGACCAGCAGAGATCTCCAGCCCCCGCCGCACCTCGGCGCTGCCCAGGGAGGAGAGGAAGGTGAGCGACTGTGGCGGGTGAGCAGGCAGCCAGCCAGGTACCCGGGGGTCCTGTGGGGCCAGGCCCTGGAAGAGGGGCTCTCCATCACACAGGTGGGCTGTTGCTCCATCAGAATCCTCAGGGATCAGACCAGAAAAGGCCAGACCTGGGGAAGAAATGAGACCAGCATCTCTCCACAGGTGGAAGGAGGGGACGGTCAGTTCTTCTGGCTGGCAGACGGCCCAGGAGGTACCAGGGGCCGGGACAGGGATGGGGCCTGGGAGGAGTCCAGGAGGCCTCCTGCCCCACTCTGCCCTAGGGCTGCTCTGACCCACTGTCAGAGGGGAAAATAAGCCTCTCGAGTCCAAAAGTATCTCCCAAACACCACCCTTGCACCCCCTCTCTGTTTCGCTCTCTCTGTCTCTGTCTCTCTGTGTCCGTTCTCTCTCTCACACACACGCAGACTTGGGGGGTTGGTGTAAAAGGAAGCTTCCCTCGTCTTCTTTCAAGAGATTTCCTTTTTCTCTTTCCTTCCATAAAGACTCATGTCAGATGGCCCAGCCCAGCCCTCTCTCCTTTCGAGAAGGGTCCTTACTCATATCTAAGCCCTTGGAGCTCACAGTGAAGGCAGACCCTGGGAGAGAGGAGGCATGTGGGGACTAGGAAGTGAGTCTGGAACAGTGAGGGGTCCCCACTGGCTGACAACCCTGTCATCACCCCAGCCAGTGTGGGCCAGAAGAAACATCAGAGTCACCAACGAGGGTGGGTGACCATCACAACACAGATGAAGAGCCAGAGGCCCAGGAAGGGAAGGGCAGGGCCCAGGCCACACAGCGTGACAGCAGAGTTGGGACCAGAACCCAGGCCGGGACTCGCTTCCTTCCCACTGGCCATCCCTCCCCTTCGGCCAGGTCACTGACAGGCTCGGCTGAACGCGACCCCGAGGGAAAAGCGCAGCCTCCACGAGGATGGTGAGCAGGCTGGTGAGGGGCTGGGGGACCTGGGGGGCCCAGGGTGTTCATGCTAGGGGTGCACCAGGCCCCAGAAAGCCGGGCTGGGAGCAGGAGCCGTCAGCATCATGCCCGAGGGGCACATCCTTACCTGGGGCACCCAGGAGCACCGAGACAAGGACCAGGAGCACCCAGGAGGTCATGGTGGGGCAGCTGCCAAGGCCCCCTCAACACCCCGTTTTATGGAGTCTGGGAACCCGGCAGTTTGACCTTGCCAGGTCCTCCTCTTGCTGGCCACCTCCCCATGTCTCAGGGCTCACCACAAACACCAACACCAGTCTGTGGAGAAGTGGGGGGAGGGGTGGTACCTCAGCGCTCTCACACATCCTGTCGGCCCCCACCCTCCCACCCAGAACTAGAACTTCCTAAGCTGAGCGGGGCTTTGCTGGAGGGCATCGCTGCTACGGCGCCCACCCTGCCCAGATGCAGCAACCGAAGAAGTCCCTGCCATCGTGTCAGGCATTTTTATGTTACAAACAAGAGAGAACTTGACTCAAATTGGCTCATACAAGAAAGGAAATTTTTGGTTCGTGTGATTGGGAAGTCCAGAAATAGAGCAAGTAGCTGTAGGCAAAGCTGGATTCAGAGGCTCAGATCGTGTCACCAGGATCTGACGTCTCTCTCTGCCTGTCCGCTGCCTTCTGGGGTGTCCTGTGCACTGCCCAGGCAGGGAGTGGGGCTCCCCAGTAGCTCTCTTGGTGGCCAGAAGAAGCCCTTCTTCCCTGAAGTCATGGCAAACATCTCACAGCAGTGAGGTTCAAACTGGGCTGCGTACCCATCACTCAGCCCATCACTGCGCCAAGTCAATGGGACACACTGGTTGGTTGGCAACAGGCAGGGATGTCCCTGCAGACGGCTGAAATGAGGGAGAGACAGGCCCCCCAAAGGCTTGGCACTGAGGCAGAAGGAAGGGAGTGGACGCTGGGAAGGAACATTGACTGCGGTCTCCTGCAGTCACTGAAGCGAGCTCCCTCTTGTTTGTAACATAAAAATGCCCGACACATGTATTTTGGCAACCAGAAATTAATTAGCACAGATAACAGAAATGTCCCCAAAGTCAAACTTTTTTTTCTTTTTTTGCTGGCTTTAAGAAAGCCTATAACTTTAGTTCCACCTTTGTCCTCAGGTGTTTCATTTCTGGATGGAACGCCAAAGTGCCATGTAGGGAGAGGCCCGCGTGTTAAGCCATTAACATCCTGAGCAGGACTCACCCGTCTGGACCACTCAGACCGGGAAGGATGCTTGGGCACCCAAGATGGACAAAGCGCATCAGGACTGTTGTGTGAACACAGGCAGGAGTTAGGCGGGATCCCCGCCCTCACCCCGGGCCCAGGGTTCAATGAAAGAGATGCGGACGTCTTCCACCCTAAACGGCGCCCACGGGGAGGGAAACTCCGTGAAGGCAAGAACATTACCAGGTTGGCTCCTCACTGCGTCTTTAGTGCCTAGAATCGTGCCTGGCACACTGCCAATTACATATTTTTTAATGGAATGAATGAATAAATAAATAAATCCATTACTTCTTCTGGTTATTCCAATATGGGCTTAAAAATGGAATCAATGCCAGAATAATAACTTGAATTTCCTGGGTCCCTCCCTTCCAGCTACGGCAAGAATCTCAGCCCTTATAAAGTCCCCTCCACTCCCAAGTGTCTCTGGGAGTCCCTGGACACATCCTGGTGTCCACGAGGGCAGTGAGCCCCGTGGTCCCAGCTCCCACATCACTCACTGTTATCTGGTCAAAGGAATGAATGAGCGAAAGTTCTTTCTAAACTCTAAGTTTCAGTGCCCTCCCTCTCGTCTGCTCTCCCAGGGAAATTCGTTCTTTTGAAAGAAAGTAAGACATAATAAAAGACTGTGCTCAGAAAGGCTGTCAGGAGACCTTTCAAGGTGCCAAATGTCCAACTCTGTATTCCTTTCCCCTGGGCACCCAGGAACATCCCATGTCCCACCTTCCCCTGGTTCAGTGGGACAATGTGACCGAGTTCTGGCCCAAGAACTGGAGGCAGAAATGAAGGTCACTCCCAGGCCTGACTCCCAGCACGCCCCTCTCAATCTCCCACTTTTTCTCTCTGTGCCCTGCCGGCCAGATGCAGAGGATCGGCGGGAGGACCCCCGCCCCGGGGGACAGCGGAGTAAGCAGGGGGAGGAGCCTGGGCCCCTGGGTGGCAGCGTGGACCAGAGCAACCCCTCCCAAGGCCAGCCTGCTCTGCGCTGTGATGTGAGCGAGGAGAAGGCATGGGCTGTGAGAAGGGCCTGTTCCAGCACTTGGGTACAATGAGCGGTGCCTGCGACCGCCCCCACACCCCCCCGGGTTCCGTCAGTCCTGAGTGTTCCCACACCTGACTGCCCGCAGCACCCCACCTTGGTCCCGCACTTATTCAGCTACAAGCACATCCTTCCTGTTCCCCTTCCCGAGCAGAATGCAAGTCACGGGGTCCCATCCTCGGCACACATTTACACCCACTGTTGGTCACTCCCTAGGTGACAGCTGTGTTTGTCATACCAACAAGGGCTTGAGGCCAACAGAAATCTCCTGAAGCCCTGTGTGACCTCGAGGGAGTCACTTGGCCACCCTGAGTCCAGTGGCACTGACTCCTGCCCTGCCAGGTGTGCTGGACACTCCCTGGAGTAGCAGCCCATGAGCCTCTGCGGGAGAGGGCTCCCTGAGAATCAGCTAAACTGGCCACCAGGGTGGTGACAGCGAGCCAGTTCCTGACTCCCTGCACTCACAGTAGCGTCGGTGCCTGGTCAGTGATGAACTTGTCTTTGGCTGTGCCCTGCACAGTGGAGCCTGACCTGACAGCTGCAGGGGACAGTTCCTTTCTCCTGAACCACCAGCTGTGCCCCTTGTCTCGATACTCAGGGCATTTCGATTTTTTCTTTTTTTCATATAAACAGTCTTCTGGCTAATGCCAACCATGTTCTCATAGAACCCGGGGAGTCTTCTGGAGGAAAGGCCAAGGAGAAGGTGGGGACTGGCGGCCTTGGAAGGTCCCAGGTTTGCCCTCCAGTGCTTGCTCTGGGCCAAGAGCCAGGCGGGAAGCTCTTAAGAGCCTTGTTCAAGAGCAGAGGAGGGCTGAGAGGCCTGGGATAGATGTGGGAGGGGGAATCACTGTGGCTGCCCTGGCCCTTCCTCAGTTTCCCTTCCGTAACCCCGAGACATGGCGGATGTGAAGCTTAAGAGTTAGAGCCCCCTGGTTGGAGGGAGTCAGGAGTCCAGGTGTGTGGGAGATAGGGTTGGGGTGGGGGCAAAGGGAGCAGGAAATGACATCAGTCAGGAGATGGGGAGGGGGGCCGGGGCGGGGGAGGTCAGGCAGGAGTGTCCTTGCTGGGAAGAGGTGGGGATCAAAGCACCTGGAGGGCCCTCCAGGGCAAAGGCAAACAGTGAGGTCAAGGCTGCTCCCACAGAGCCCTGCCCCCACACCCCAGCCCCCAGCTATAAGGGCCCCGGCCCCAGCAGGAGCCTTGGCTGCGCAGTCCAGGCTGCTGAAGTGTCATGGCCAAGTTGCACCTGCTGCCGTGGCTGCTGCTGCTGCCCACACTCCGTGGTCCAGGCACTGGTGAGTCTCCCCAGCCTCTCCTCACCCCCCGTCCCACCTGGGGCCACGTGCAGAGAGGGACATCACCACCGTCCCTACCACTTCCTGAGCCCTGGCTCGGTCCCAGGCATTGCCCCTGGTCTGTACATTATCCTTATTGCAAAGATGAGGAAGTTTTGACTCAGAGGGGCTCCATAGCTTGTCCAAGGTCACACAGCTGGTGGGCACTAAAGCAGGCAGAACCCAGAGCTGTCTGGCTCCAGCATGTTTAACAGCCATGCATCCCACTAAAACTGGGTTTGGAGGTTGGGTGAGGTCGGGGTGCCAGGTGTGGCTCGGATTCTAAGGTTGCACTGGCCCCAAACAACAGCTGATGGGACCACCTCATCCCCGGGCTGTGCCCAGGGCCCCAAGTTCTGGTGCCAAAGCCTGGAGCAAGCCTTGCAGTGCAGAGCCCTAGGGTACTGCCTACAGGAAGTCTGGGGACACGCGGGAGCTGTGAGTACCACCCAAATGTGCACTGGGACCGCAGGTCTGGGATAGAGGGTTCCGGGTAGGCTCTGAATGGGCCTGAGGGATTGGAGGCCCCATAGGGGATGGGATGGGATGGGATAGAATGGGATGGATGGGACGGGATGGGATGAAATGGGATTGGGTTGGCGAGGATGGGATGGGATGGAATGGGACGGATGGAACGGATGGCACGGTGGGCAATTGCCTGTGCCTTGGCATGCCCCCTCAGCCGCTGCTGAAAGGGCCTCAGCCACCTAAACTGGAAGCACGCCCCACTCATGTGCCCACTTTGGGGCTCCCCTTCCCAGGATGACCTGTGCCAGGAATGTGAGGACATCGCCCGCATTCTCACCAAGATGGCCAAGGAGGCCATTTTCCAGGTGATGAGGCCTAGACTCTGGATGAAGCCTGGACGGTTAAGAGATGGGGGACAGAGCAGGAGACGAGGTCAGCCC